GGGGGGGGGGTGGTTTGGCTCGTGGTATTCAATTATTTGTCCCCTAACTGTGCAGTTAGCAACTTTCCCAGTTTCATCACCTGCTCATCAACCCGGCTAAAGATCCTCATTATGCATTTTATCTCCTCAAATTTGGGTTATTAAACGTATCCCTGATGCTTTTCGTCTTCAGGTTTGGTCATTGTATGCGGATATTGAAGAAGCGTTCGGTACATTGGAATCGTGTCAGGCAGTTTATGAGCGAATAATCGATTTGCGAATCGCCACCCCACAAATTATCATTAATTATGCGAAATTTTTGGAAGAGAACAATTACTTTGAAAATGCTTTCAAGGTATTTTTGGTTTCTCACTCTTGTTTTTATGCAGGCGGTTGGAATAATCGTAGCTTATCCAGTTTCCTTTTTTTTTCAATTTTTTTTTTTTTTTTTGGGTTTTGCTTTGTTTCTAATTTTTGGGTAAAAATTATGCATATTGCTATAAGTGAAGTTGAAAAACTCATAAATGGTCTATCGCACATGCTTTTCAGACCTATGAAAAAGGCATTGCATTATTCAAATGGCCAATTGTGAACGAAATATGGACGGTGTATCTGGTGAAATTCTTAAATCGTTATGTAAGTTCCACAGATGTTTCGTTTTTTTGCTACCCCAGCTAAGAAATTATTTCTTGCAGAAGGTACATTCAGTCCTTCTACGATTCGTTCATTCGTTTCGATGGCAAATTAATACTGACGCATATCAGGGAATCAAACCCGTCATCAAATATTTGTGAAAAACCTTGAAAAAAGGAAGGGGTCGGGCTGTTGATAGTCTTGCCAATTAAATGGTTGCTTTTAGCATTTGCTACCGCTTGGGCTGTTTCATGAATGTCTTTGTTTCTCATTAAAAAACATGGGGGAAGTTTTGAATTTAACTGCTGGACAGTTGCTTTCTTCTAGAAATTGTTTGGGACAATTGATAAGTTGTTTTAATGTTTGCAGGGTGGCAAGAAATTGGAGCGTGCCCGTGATCTCTTCGAGCAGTGCCTTGAGAATTGCCCATCAAAATTTGCAATGAGTGAGTTTTTTGTGCTTAATTCTTCAGGATTTTACTGCTTTTCCTAAAATAGGCGAATGTTGTACGTGGTTTTTGTTGCTGGGATTGTTTGCATGTAAAACCTCAGACGCTTATGTCCGCAGCTGTTCCAGACCTTTCAATTTTTTTTTTTTTATTTTGATATTTGTTATATTATCTATCTAAACATTAGATTTTGTGCTGATGGCACAGGAAAATTATGGCTTTTCCTACTGGTATCTAATTAATGATTTTTTTTTGGATGTGTACATATGAGTATGTATGTCTGCATGTGTTCTTGCACGTGTATATGTGTATGTGTGTGTTTGCATGTGTGTATGTATATGTACGTGTGTGTTTGTGTATGTGTGTGTTTGTGTATGTGTGTGTTTGTGCGTTTGTGTGTGTGTTTGTGTGTATGTGTGTGCGTGTGTGTGTACCTGCCTGTAACATTATGGAATACTTTGTCAGTGCAGTTTAACTTTATCATTTGTTCTTTTTCATAAGCGGGTCTAATGGAATGTTGTTATAGAATTGTATCTGCTGTATGCAAAACTGGAAGAGCAATATGGTTTGCCGAGGCATGCAATGAACATCTACAATCGTGCCACTGCTGCTGTCGAAAGGCATGAAATGTACAGCGTAAGCTTTTTAGCCTTCCCAAGAGAAAGCTTTTCGGGAAGTTTTACAGTGTTTTTGCAGCCAGAGCAAAAATCTTCAAAACACCGGCACTGTATAGGATTCTTATGTCCCATACGAGTGTTGAAATGATAATGATAAATAACAGTCATTAGAAGGCCGAATCATAAGTGGATGGTCCAAGTGGAGCGGCCGGAATGGGTTAAGTTGACAAATAATTTGCGGCCCTTAGAGGTCGAACCGTAATTTCTGAAATAAACGGCCAGTCCGAACCGTGGAAAATATGGAACGGCCGTAATCTACGAATTAATGTAGGGTAAAATTAGTGAATAGATTATGATGGGAAAAATAGTAGGGATGTTAGTGTGGTATAAACCGTTTGACATGTTGACAAGCTATGTTAAGAGGAATATGTAGAAGTTGGCCTGCCTGTATTTCATCCCACAGCTGTAAATACAGACAGTACAAGGTGCGGTTGGAGGTGGGAATCATCAGTACAGCCCCCTAACCACCGTTGAAGTTTACTGGTTTCTATAGATTTTCCATGCTTTTTTGTCTACTTCGTAAAAAATTGCAGATGTTTAATATTTACATCAAGAAAGCAAAAAGTATGTATGGATTGACGCATTCAAGGCCAATATACGAGCATGCTATCGAAGTGCTTCCGGAGGATCAATCCAGGTTCTTTATTTATTCAGTCTTCAGCTTTTTTCTCTCCAGCTGGTTCCAATGTTCCATAATTTCCTGAATTGTGTATTGCGATTTTACAGAGCAATGAGCATCGAATTTGCTGAAATGGAAAGGAAACTGGGTGAAATTGATCGCGCACGGGCAATTTATGCGCACTGCTCTGAAATATGCGATCCACGAGTAAGTTTGCTTGAAAACTGTAGAAGTTTGACTCAACTTTGTAAGGCCTAACGCTGAACGACTTGTAAATAGTTGTGGTTACTTTCTGAATTTTGTTTTTTTGGATATCTTAACGCTTCTGAAAATAATCGATTTGCCTCAAACGAATTTACCTTGTGCTTAAAGGAGACAGTTAAAAGTGCATTGAAAAGGACGCTTTCGGCTGAGTTGTTGGGTCACGATAGTGTTTACGGGAATCTGATATAGCCAGTTTTTCCCTATCGAAAGAAAAAGAAAGATGAGGTCGGCCAGCATCTGGCCATTTAGTAGCAGTGCAACCGTCCCATAAAAATTTGATTAGCGCATAGCATTTCATGATGAGTTTTGATCAGAGAGATGCATCAGAACAAGCCCTGCCTCGTTCTACTCATCATTTTTAGGTTCACGGACGCTTCTGGGAGATATGGAGAGAATTCGAAATCCAGAGCGGTAACGAGGATACAGTACGTGAGATGTTACGCATAAAACGATCTGTACAGGCGACGTACAACACAAGTGTTAATGTGATGAGCGCGCAAATGTTGTCAGCAGCGGCTGGTACTGCAACAGGAACTATTATACCTGAGCGTATGTCTTTTTTTTTAACCTTTTGTTTTAGTAGACATGAAGTGGGAGCTGGCATATGTCAGGAAATTAAGACTATCATCAGTTTGTTTTTAAGCAACCTCAGCTAGGGAGTAGTCGACAGCATTACGAAAGGGTAATTGTTTTTGGATCACACTTGCATTCGCGTTACTTCCAAATGCTTTTGCTTCAGCGAGAGTGTTTGTGAAAGAGGCACGAAAAAATCAGATTACAGTTAGCATGCTATCAAAGTTCATGTAGCGGCAGCTTATCCAAGTAAAAACCCAGTGTTGCCAGTGAAATGCTCGAGTAGCGCACACTTCCCATCGGTGTCCGCCCATTTATACAAGTAACGACTGTTTCTGGGTGCAGTACTTGAGCATTTGCCGTAGGTTACTTGTATTGGTGAGACGTCATCGCACCGAGTTCAAGTGACGCCCAGAAGATTTCCGTGCTCTATAGCTCCATCGCTCGTGTAACCATCGGGCAGCGGTGGGGGCGGAGCTACAGCTTGTGTCGTGCGACAGCAGCCGCACCATCGTGTCATGGGATGATTGTTTCATCGCATCCTCTGCTGTTGATGGGCGGTAGCGACTTCTGGGGCTGGGGAGGAGGAGTAGCATGCTCGTATATTGGTTCCGATGTATGGGAATTTCGCGGTTACATCACAAACATGAGAAATCTACTTATCCGAGCGGTACTGGCATTGTTGTAATTTAAATCATTGCAATTTTCGCACGTGTCACACTTATAGCTAGCACAGCGGCGGACAGCATGGCAATGCTTGAAGCGCGAGCCCAGAAAATCGCTGAGGAAGAAACAGGCGTTGTAAAGGCACCCTTGGGTGGTGCAGCAATCCGATTTGTTCGAGGAGCAACAACAGCTCAAGCAGTCGAATCGAGTGTCACGGAAAATCCGGAAGAAATTGACATTGGTGAGGGAAGCGATGACGAGGAAAATGAGGATGGTAAGAACTTTTTAAAATTTCTTTTAAAAACTAATAAAATTTCTGGAAACTTTAAAATAAAATTTTTTGAAATAATTTTTTTTACGCAAGATAATGAGGACTACGATTTCTTTTTCGAAAAGTATTGATTTATTTTGTAGTTTCTTTTTTTTTCGGTGAGTTTGCTAGGAATCTGCCCTGGACCGATTCCCTTGCCCACCCATTTGTTGATGCTTCAGAATGCAGATTATAGTCTCACCAGAAGCAACTTTGATGACTATTAGTTCAAGGTCTGTTTCTTCCTTTCTGCTGCTGCTGCTGCTAACTCATCCAACTCACCCTTACCGCAAATAAGGGGCTGGTGGCTAGCATCCAGATAATTATTAACACAGAAAAGATACTTGCGTCGAAAATCTGATTCAGCATACAAGTCGAGGCAAATTTTTACGGATTTTCATGAGTTTCTCCCGTATTATCAGTGTTTTTTGCAATATTTTTCGTATTTTTGCATTTTTTTTCTTTTCAGTTGTCGAGACGAGAGCAATACCTGCTGGTGTTTTGGGCTGTCTGGCACAGGAAAGAAACGAATGAATAAACTGTAACACTGATTTCACTGTTTGATGTTCACATTTTGTTATGTTGCATAAACTGATTGTAAGATTTGATAACGTGCGATTATAGCACTGATAACTATGATTTGCTATCAGGATGCTCCTTTTTCCCATCCCACCCGGTTTGTGGCGCAGTAAAACCCATTATTCTTCCAGTATGAGTGTTTCGAATAATTTGGCGTAATTATGATTTTGCAGCTGTTATCGGGCGTGGCGCATAGCTTTTTTTTATAATTATTAAGAGCAGTGCTAATGGATCGAAATACCTTATTTGGCGAAGGAGGG